TTTGCAGGCTTCTTTAGTTTGCAGGCTTCTTTAGTTTGCAGGCTTCTTTAGTTTGCAGGCTTCTTTAGTTTGCAGGCTTCTTTAGTTTGCAGGCCTCTTTATAGGAGTTTTCTTTTCGTTGCCTAATAATATTTAAACGATGAATTTTTTTAAACATTATGTGTTTTATTGATTAATTATCACGAGTAAATCTCAATCAAACGAATTTCTGCTTATGACGTTTTAGCCCATCTGTTTAAAGTACTTGCCGCTGGTATTCATTTCTAAAAAGGTTTCGGGTGGATTAAACTTTGCAGACCTTCTTAACGCAAGACACACAAGTTATATGGGTCATTTGGATCAAGTTCTGGAAAATCGAAAATATCAAGGTAAGCCCTAGAAACTTTGTTATACCGAACCTCTTTTATTGCTTTCAATTATTGCACAATATAAGAGATATTAAGCATATTCAGTGTTTTAAAATGTTGTGCCTTGCAATATGTTCCCTTAATAAAAATGTGGTTAGAATAAAGCAAACAACTCTATCAAGCATGATCATTTAAGAGATTACTGAATTTACAGGGCTGAAAAAAAAATTAGTTCTAAGGCATAAATTAAAATATATATGAAAAAATCTCCATTGTACAGACAGATTAGGTACTGTATTAAATGTGTTACATTGGATATTAGTATGGGTAATACAATTAATTTTCTGATTTCAAGAACATTATACGCAAAATAGTAGCATGTTTCAATAATGTATTATTTAAAGAAGTTATTACAAATAAAGTTTGAATTCTTTGTCCGAATAAGAATTATAACTACACATAATGAATAGATTTCTGTAGTGGTAGGCAATTAAATCAGATGTAACAAAAACCGCTATCATCAGGTGAACATGTGAGCAATTAATATATGGAATGATTTTTTAAAAACAAGATATTTATTTTTCCAATAGAGCAAGCAAAATTCTTCAATGGATATCAAATGCTGCACTGACTACCATATCTCAAAAGTTTGCAAGCAGTTCTCTTTCATTTTCTAAAAAATGTTTTCTTGAGCTATTTTTTCGGTTTAAATTAATCTTAGTTCAGTGATTATTCTAAACGTCATTATTTATAAAACATGGTTATATTATAAATAATTGATAAGTAAAAAAATATTTCTAAATTAAATTTATTCACCTATCTGAAAAGTTTTGATTAAACATTTAATTACAATTTATTGCTTTTTTCAAATTACTGTGATCAGCAAATTTCATCATCACACACCACATGGAAATCTGAAATCGGAAATCTAAAATTCCAATATAAATAAAAAAAATCCTAAAATAGCTAGAATTTTTACTTTTTTCAAAATTAATCGAACATATTATGGCAGATGCAACCCATACTAAGCTCATATATTACCATGGCACCTGTTTTGGGTGTAGAAAATTCTTATACTGTGCTGTTGATTTACAAAGTGATACTTGCAAATGTAAATTATCACTAGTACCAACTAAAAAAAATAGAACAGATTTAGTAAAACAAGTGTATACAAGGGTTTATGAACCAACTTGGGCTGTGCCCAAATTTGAAATTATTCACAGCAAAGTTGTAGAGTACAATTACTAGATTTAAGAAAAACTTTTAAATTTTCTCTATGTGGATGATGCCACAATGTTTTAGTAAAATTGAGTAATACCATGGCCAAAAAAAAAAACAAAAATAGCAGATGCAACAGAACAAAATAAAGTAGATAATAATGTAATATTATTTCTATAATATAAATATTTATAAATTTATTAACCTTTTTATTTTTATAATATTTTTTTTTATTTTTTTTCTTTTTTTTTTAAAAAAAAATTATTTACATTACTTTTTATTTTATAGGAAACAACTATGTTGCCTTCTCAGACATGTCATTCTCCCAATCTGCTTCTATTACAGTTATGTCGTCCTCCCAATCTGCTTCTATTACAGATAGGTCACCCTCTCCTTCTGCATTTATTGTTGCAAGTGAAACGAGTAGTGAGGATGATGAATTCGAATTTGTAGTAGATTATAAGTTGTTTGTTAAAATGGCAAATGGGACTTCATTATCTGCTAAATGGTTTCAAGAATCTGTATCTACAGTGATGAGTTTCTTTCATCCGTTTATAATAAAATTCTTTTGGTAACAAAAGATAAATCAATTATGCCAAATGATTACTTTTTGACATTCAAAACGCAAAGAGAAACAGGCACTGGTATCCAATTAGCAGATAATCAAGATTTCATAAAATTCAAGTCTGATTATACAAAGAGAAAATATGATATCAGAATTTATGCTACATTTATGCAATCTCAAAATAATGATAAACAGAAAAAAAGGGTATGTATGTACTTACATATATATAAAGTTTAAGTTATATATATGTACACAATACGTATGAAATCTTGGTCAATACCGGTTATTGCTATTTGGAGAATTTTTTTTTTTTGTATTAGCGTTAGATATTGATTTACTGTTTTTATAAATTAATTTAAATTCATTTAAGAATTAAATAAAGACGAAGAAGGTGCTGAAAGACCAGATGATTATAAAAACAACAATCAGGTTCCAAGTGTTTCATCTTTGTCAGTATATGACAAAGAAATAGCTGCAAATGTATTACAAATAAGAACTACATATCGTTGTAATATGCATATTCGCCCCTGCCTTAATAAAGAAACTCACAAAGATTTACACATCAAAATTACCTTTATGATGCTTTCAATTTGGGCATCTGATATAGTAATGTTTGTAATTGTTTTATATTGAATCATTTAGGGTGACCATAAAAAGTATAGTAATGTGATCATATATCTAATATAGATCGTAGCTATTAATGCCACTTATTTGCTCTTTCCAACTGCATATTGTAAAAATAGTTATTGTTTTCAGTTATTGTAATTCGATACTGCAATATACAGTATATACTGTGGCTGCACATAATCATGTTACTGCACTTTTTATGGTTGCTCTGGATGATTCCTTTATATTACTGTACTAAATATAATATATATATTTTTTTTTTAGAGAAAAGGACTTGCTACAATTAAAAATCTTCCAATGCATCCACTTTTTTCTTATGCTAATATATCATTTAAAAAGTTACATTTTTTAAAGTCACCACTCATATCATCTCAAATATTGCCTCAAATATCACCTCAAGTGTCGCCTCAAGTGTCGTCTCAAATGTCACCTCAAATGTCATCTCAAATGTCATTATCACCATTACCACTATTACCACAACAACTTACACAACCACTACAACCACAAATGCAATTTGTACAATAACCACTCACTGCAAATACAACTGTCACAGCAATCACTACAAATACAACCACAATTGATTTTATCACCATTTCAGTCACTGCAATCATTATTGGTTTTACTACCACAACTATCATCACAACACAATTGGGCCTTTCAAACATTTCAACCACATCAACCAATCCCATATAACCCGTATCAAACAGTGTCTCATATTCCTATACAATATCAAGCTATTCATACTAATTCACATATCTCTTCTACTTTATCTACTATGGCAGAATTCCTAAAAGAAGTAGATGATAGGGAAGAAACTGGCTATTATTATCAAAATTTCTTAGAAAAATTTGATATGCAATGAGCTTCAGTAAAGCATTTGCGAAGACTATTGGATGAAGAGTTTATGCAATATGAAGTAAATACTATTAGAGCATGACAAACTTTACATGAATATGCTGAAAAGTATCAAATACCACCAAAAGCAGCTTCCAATTTTTGGTTATGAGGAAAAAAAAGAAATAATTTCAGTGTTTTCGCTCATATAAGATTTGCATAGTAGAAATATTTATATTTCAAAACAATTATATAATGCATATATCGGAGAATAAATAGTAAGAACAATAAATAGAATATTAGATATTGAATCTGATAGAATACATATATAGCAAAAAAAAAGTAAATTTTTGTGGTATTTGTAACTTTACCTGTAATAATTAGAAAAACATCACTACTAAACAATTTGAAGTTGTAATTTTGCTTTTTATGATTTCTTTTTTTTCATTGAATTTATACATTGCCTAGTCAATTCAACATAGTAACAGGTAGTTTCAAGAGCAAACTCTAGTCATTCTCCTTTGATGATCTTTCAAGTGAGAGTAACACCAAATTCCTGCCCATCAAAAAGCCTTTGTCAAATTAACATTTCAGCCATAATAAAACTCAAGCCATAAATATCAGCCTTTGTGTAATTCCTACCTAATAAAATTCTAGGAAAATATAAAGCTACTGTTTTTATTTTTCTTATTATAATGGTAATTATTTTTGAAGTCGAATTAATTTTGCAATTTTACATTACATAATTTGGTCTGATTTCAAAATTTATTACACTTATAAGAAAACAAATGATAGCTCCTCAAACATTTGTCGAAAATATGTAATTTTTAATATAAGTCTTGTCGAAAAATATGCTATAGGTGAATAGAATGTTAGTAATATGGTGTCAGAGAAATGAGTTAGTTGGAAAACACTATAACCATTAGTGCCTGCTATAAAGATGAAATTGGAGTTGAAAAGGATGAACATAAGGCATTTATTTATTTTCAAAAATCTAATTCAGTAATTTACTTGATCTGGTAGTAAACTGAGTAGAGTATTGGGCTTTTCACAGTAACACTATATAACTAATTATTATATATTATTACGTGTAGAGATGCATGTTATTATATGATAGTCAAAAGAAATAATATATCAGCCAAGTAAAAAGAAAATTTACTAAACTTTTTATGAAGATTTTCTTTATTAGCATACTAAAATGTCAACTAAGTATTCATTTATTTTGGTATTTCCAGTAGTGGTTCTGTGCATTTTCTTACATTCAAACATAATTTTGTAATTTCAACTGAATTCTTGCTAAACAAATTATTGATACTTACTACATGTATTTACTCAACCTTTTTTTTTGTACTAGTATCAAGTCATCAGAAATCTGAATCAAAAAATAACCAGATATAAATTTTGGCCAAATTAACCTAACAAAAAAAAAAAAGGTAAACTAAAAAATATTTTCTATAATAATATTATATTATTTATATCCCGAAGATTCAAAAAAATTTTTTGATATTTCAGGTGTAATTTGTACACACACAACTAGCAATGCATATTTTGGATCATCAAAATTCTCAACAAAATAGGATAACGTTGTAAAAACATTTTGATTAAAGAAAATGCCTTCTCGATAGGGTTTAGATCGGGTGAGTAAAGTGGAAGATATTTAATGTGTACTCCAAATGCATCCAAATATTTACACAATCCATCATCATGATGTATACGCGCATTATCCACTATTATTATGTGGATATAAGTTCATTTGTGGTAGCAATATTTGTAAAAAAAAAAAAAAAAAAATTTAGTAAAGAAAATCATGCAAAAAAAAAAATATTGTACTGTAAACTGAGTACAATTGGATCCTATACTATTAGTAATAATGCATACAATGTGATTTATAACAAAATCCTTAAATCAAAGTTTCGTATAATTGACTTTAATGATATCAACAGCAATTATTCCTTGTAGAGTTAAGGTCAGACAAATAGTATATCTTGTTCCGCATACAAATACCACATTTTTTTTTGCCCAGATGTTCATTTCTGAATATCCATAACCCCTCGTTATAGAACGTTCATCCTTCACAGACTTATCTATAAAGATCAACTGTTTAGGCCGATACTGTGCACTAACACATGCTATAAAGGCACTTCGCACAAGCTCATTCTGTTCCTTTGCTTCTTTTTGAAGCTATTATAAAATGTTATAATAATTATTGTAAATATGAAAATTTAAAATTAACATTTAAAAAACTAGCTCAACTTTTTTCGTGTGATGCTACAATATGCTAAATATCTCCATAACATCGAAATTGATACAGTACATCATTCCATTTCACAAACAAATTTATTCAAGTACCAATCAATATTATTCTTAACAATTTGTTGCAAAATCTAATATATAAAATTAAAAATATAAAAATTATTGTAATTGTTATTATAAAAATTATATTATTGTAAAAAAATTATACTGTAATTGTTATTGTAAAAAGTTATAATTTTTATTGAAAATGTTATTGTAAAATTTATTACATACTTATTATTGTAAAATATAAATATGCATACATTCATATCATTCCTGTTAAATGTTTTCTGTGGTCTGGGAATTTGGCGCCACAGATAAGTAACTGTACTCCATTTTCTGTATATTCTTAAAATTTTATTTATTAAAGGTATACTTATATATAATATGGATGCAATTTCTTTTTTTGAATAACCATCATAGCATAAAAAACTATGCGCCACTTAAGGTCTTCACTATAAGGATGTGGCATTGATATTTTATAAGAAATCTAAAAAAAAACTTGGAAATTTAAAAAAAATCTTGGAAATTTTTATTATTGCGCTAGTTAACCAACTGTAAAATTTTGTATGTTGATGGATAATTTATTAAAGAATTGGAATATGATAGAGAATTTTTGGAATTGTTATTTTTTTAAGTAGAAATTTGCGAAAAAATAAGAATTTAAAGGAATTTTACTAATTTCCAAGTGATGGTGATCATCTGATGAATACAGTAATTTGAAAAGAGCAATAAATTGATAAATACTATAATTAAAAGAATTAATATCAAAATCAATATTCTTAATTATGATTTAAAATAGATAAATAATTGAAAAGTAAAAAAATATTTCTAAATTAAATTTATTTACTTATCTAAAAAGTTTCGATTAAACATTTAATTACAATTTAAATTGATAAATACTGTAATTGAAAAGAAATAATATCAAAATCAATATTCTTAATTATGATTTAAAATAGATAAATAATTGAAAAGTAAAAAAATATTTCTAAATTA